GAGGCCCCCAAGAGGCCCCTAAACTCTCCCGCAGTGGCCGCCGAGAGCGCTCTCGAGAGACCCCAAGAAGCGTCCATGAGGACTCTGACCCAAAACCCAAGCACGGTGGCGGGATGGGCCGACGGCCATTTGATAGCTGGCATACGCGCCGCGTCACGACTTTCGATGCTGCGCACCAATTCGGCAAACTCCCAGGGAGCGGCCGGAGATGCGCCGACGGCGTCCTCGATAATCAGCACCAGCATCAGCAGCAGCAGCAGCATCAGCGGCGGAATCATCATCATCATCATCATCATCATCATCATCATCATCATCATCATCATCATCATCATCAGCAGCAGCAGCATCATCATCATCATAATCATCATAATCATCATCATCATCATCATCAGCAGCAGCATCAGCACCAGCATCAGCATCAGCATCATCATCATCATCAGCAGCATCGTCATCATCATCATCATCAGCTCATCAGCATCATCAGCACCATCATCATCATCATCATCACCATCATCATCACCACCACCACAACCACCACCACCATCATCATTATCATCATCATCTTCATCATCATCATCATCGTCATCATCATCATCATCTTCATCATCATCATCATCATCATCGTCATCGTCATCAACGTCATCATCAGCATCATCGCCAGCAGCATCATCATCATCGTCATCATCATACGCATCAGCATCAGCAGCAGCAGCATAAGCATCATCATCATCAGCAGCAGCATCAGCATCAGCATCAGCATCAGCGTCAGCATCATCATCATCCTCATCATCATCATCATCATCACCATCATCACCATCATCATCACCACCACCACCACAACCACCACCACCACCATCATCATTATCATCATCATCTTCATCATCATCTCCATCGTCATCATCATCATCATCATCATCCTCATCCTCATCATCATCATCATCATCATCATCGTCATCATCCTCATCATCGTCATCATCAGCATCATCATCAGCAGCATCATCATCATCGTCATCATCATCTGCATCAGCATCAGCAGCAGCAGCATCATCATCATCCTTATCCTCACCAGCATCAGCAGCATCAGCATCAGCATCAGCATCAGCTTCAACATCAGCATCAGCATCAGCATCATCATCATCATCATCATCATCATCATCATCATCATCATCATCATCATCATCATCATCATCATCATCATCCCTCTCATCCGGATCTCCCCATCGGTATGCTTAATATCATCTTTCTCTGGCTCCGTTTGTGGAAACAAACAAGTCAGCCGACCAAGAAGCGCTGCTACAACTGACGCGCGGACGGGCCAAGGCATCTCCAGGTACCCCCCCTGAGCTGGCTTCAGAATCTCGAAGAACACTTTGAGATCCCTCGAGTCGTATCAATCTGGAGCCGGACCCGACGTCCCAGATCGAATCGGAAAAAGCCCAGGGCCACGCTGGGTTAGAACCACAGTCGGTTCGACAGCGCATCAGCAGCGTCGGGCCAGAACCAAGGTCGGCACCCGAAAATCGGTTCGGGTCTGGGAGAAACAGCGGTGAGGGAGGCGAGGGAGGCAAGGGAGGCGAGGGAGGCAAAGGTTGTGCACTGGTCCTGAACTATCGACGGTGCAAGCGTGCCACAGCTACGTTTCACCCAGTTCCGCGCCCTGTTTGCAGCCAGCTTGTGGCAAGTGAGAGGTGCGAGGGAGGCGAGGGGCCAGGCAAGGGGAAGGAGAGCGCACTCTGAATGCAACGGGAACGGGCCCCGTAGGGATCGGATCGGAACACACGCAGGCCCGCTCCACCAGGCGCAGGGGCCTTGAAGAACTCCCACAGGGTGTACTTGGTCGCCCCCTGGGCGGCAGCCGCGGATGGAGGCCGATCGGAGGAAGTTGGCAGAAACACGAACTTGCAGAGAACCTAAAATAGCTTTGGGTTCGGCCCTCCGCCCGAGCCATGGGCGATCGGAACACAAAGTTTCCGGCCAATCGAGGGCCCCAAATCTGGCCGAATCCCGCACGCTACCCCGTAACGCCGGCTCCGATGTCCCGAGGGTGCTGGAAATTGGCCAGCATGTCGGCCAGCGCCAACGTGCAGGGAAGCAAGCAGAAAGCTGCTCGGCGGCGCGCTCGAAGGCTGTATGACAGCGCAAGCCGTGGAGGACCGTCACGACTTCAATGAACGTTATCATCGTTGTTGTCGACGGCAAGACCATCTGGAGTACCCGACACAGCACTGTCGCTCAGCAATGCTAGGATGGCAAAACTCACATATGTCCGAGCCGACAGCATGCAGCATTGGCGCATACATACAAGCAGTGGCGCCACAACAAGAACCCGCATCTGCGCACCGCCCCTGGCGCATGTGACTTACTGACGCCACCACCACTGGCGCATGTGCCCCTACATTCATAATGGCTCGTATTATAGTATTGCCGCGGGGATCGTATCAAGTTGGGCATTCATGACTCAATTCGCATGTGCTTTCATCGTGGTGCGCCCACTGTGCTCAAGACTCTCAGACACGCACACACACACACACACACACACACACACACACACACACACACACACGCACGCACGCACACACACACACACACACACACACACACACACACACACACACGCACACACACACACACACACACGCACACACGCACACACACACACACACACACACACACACACGCACACACACACGCACACACACACGCACGCACGCACGCACGCACGCACGCACGCACGCACGCACGCACGCACGCACACACACACACACACACACACACACACACACACACACGCACACACACGCACGCACAGTCCGCCACCGCCCCGCTGGGCACGGACTGGGCGCGTCCTCGGGTCCTCTGCCCAGTCCCCGGAGCCTCCGTCCACAGCCCCGAAGAGTGCTTCGGGGCCCTCGACCCGGATCTCCGAAATCTCTCGGGGCTTGCCGCGTGCCCCCCTGGGGTGCCCGGCATCCTGTCGCACGTCTGCCTCGGGCCCAAGGAGGGCCTCCGGACAGGCCCAGAGGACCCCAAGAGGCCGCACAAGACGGTCCAAAAGAGGGCACCGAGTCGCCGAAAGATCGCCCCGAGACGCGCAAGATGGCCCCAAGACGACCCAAGAGGCCCCCAAGACGCCCGAAGAGGCCTCCAAAGAAGGCCCCAAGAAGCCTACAGAAGGGTTTGTCCTAAAATGTTTGAAGGTTTTTGGCATTCTGGCCGTTTCGGCGTCCTGGCGCTCCAAGACGGCACACGAGGTCTCCAAGACTGCCCCAAGACAGCTCAAGAAACCGCCAAGACGCCCCCAAGACGGCCCAAGAGGGCCTCAAAACGGCCCAACAGCCGCCCCAAACGACCCAAGAGGGCCCCCCAAAGGGGCCTGAGAGAGGGAACACGAACCGAAAATCCGAGCCTGCCACCCCAAGAGACCCCAAGAGGCCCCAAGATGCGCCCAGGAGGCCCCAAGAGGCCCCAAAAGGTCTCCAAAAGGCCTCCAAGAGGCCCCGAGAGGCACCCGCGAGACCCAAAAGAGGCCCCAAGAGGCCCCGAAACGGCCCCCCAAGAGGCCTCCAAATTGCATCCAAGAGTCCCCCGAGAGGCCTCCCACTAGATACCAACGAACATCCAATAAGCTTCATACCCACAACCCAGGCACGTTGGCGCGATGGGCCGAAAGCCATTAGACCTGGCCTTGCACAAAAACGGAAAGAGCGCTGCAGCAACAGAAACCGAAATTATTCACACCACCGTTCGTACTGGGAGCCTTCGCGTTGAGAGCTTGTTACGTCACCCCTCGCTCGTGGGAGCCTTGGGGTTCAGAGATGGTTGCGTTGCCGCCCGTTCCTGAGCCTTGGCTGGGCCGTGGTGTCAGGAACTTGTTACGTCACCGCTCTCTGCTAGGAGCCTGGGTCTGATCAGCTTCTGTACGTCACCGCTCGCTCTTGGGAGCCTTGGTGTGAAGAGCTTTTTGCATTACCGATCGCTCTTTATTTGGCGTCTCTGGGCCTTCGTGGGATTCCTATTGGGGCCCTTGTAGAGCCCTTTTGGAGGCCTCTTGGGGGCATCTTGGGGGCCTCTTGGGGCTTCTTAGGGATCTGTGGGGCCTCCCAGGAGCGTCTTGGGGCGATAAGCTAGACTTTCGGGCTCGTGGTCCCCCTCTTGGGGCCGTCGTGGGGCCCTCTTGGGCCGTCTTGGGCGCATCTTGGGCCGTCTTGGGGCCCTCTTGGGCCGTCTGGGGCGCCTCTTGGGAGCCTCTGAGGCCGTCTTGGGGCGGCCTTGGGGGCCTCTTGGACCGTCTTCAACGCAGTGAAAGCCGAAAAGCCGTGTATGCTAAAAATGCACCTGTTCCCATAAAAAATCAATGATTTTGGCCTCCGGATGGCCTCGTGGGACGCCTCTCGGGGGCCTCTTGGGGCTTCTTGGGGGGCTGTGGGGGCCTCCTGGGAGCGTCTTGGGGCGATAAGCTAGACTTTTCGATTCGTGGTCCCCCTCTTGGGGCCGTCTTGGAGCCCTCTTGGGCCGTCTGGGGCGCCTCTTGGGCCGTCTGGGCGCCCTCTTGGGCCGTTTGGGGGGCCTCTTGGGAGCCTCTGAGGCCGTCTTGGGGCGGTCTTGGGGGCCTCTTGGGCCGTCGTCAACGCCGTAAAAGGCGAAAAGCCGTAGATGGTAGAATATACGTTTTCCCATAGAAAATTCATGATTTGGGCCTCTTGGGGCCCTCTTGGGACGCCCCTTGGGCGCCTCTTGGGAGCCTCTTGGGGGCCTCTGGGGCTGTCTTGGGCGGTCTTGGGCTCTCGAGCGCTCTTGGGCCGTCTTGAGGGAGAATCCGAAAAACATGCAAAAACCCGCAGGAAAATCCCCAAAATGGCCATTAGAACTCAAACGACCGCGCTACCCCTCCCTGGATCCCCCCCTTAAGGGGCTTCGCCCAACACACAACGTCGTCGCTCGTACCTCGCTCTTTCTGTTACCTGGCCCGGCACAGAAATGGAAAGAGCGCTACAGCAACAGGAACCGAAATGACTCACACCACCGTTCGTCCTGGGAGCCTTTGCGTTGAGAGCTTCTTACGTCACCCCTCGCTCGTGGGAGCCTTGGGGTTCAGAGATGGGTGCGTTGCCGCCCGTTCCTGAGCCTTGGCTGGGCCTTGGCGTCAGGAACTTGCGACGTCACCGCTCTCTGCTGGGAGCCTTGGTCTTATCAGCTTGTTTACGTCACCGTTCGCTCTTGGGAGCCTTGGTGTGAAGAGCTTTTTGCATTACCGAGCGCTCTTTATTTGGCGTCTCTGGGCCTTCGTGGGATTCCTATTGGGGCCCTTGTAGAGCCCTTTTGGAGGCCTCTTGGGGGCATCTTGGGGGCCTCTTGGGGCTTCTTGGGGGGCTCTGGGGGCCTCCTGAGAGCTTCTTGCGGCGAAAGGCTAGACTTTTCGGCTCGTGGTCCCCCTCTTGGGGCCGTCGTGGGGCCCTCTTGGGCCGTCTTGGGCGCATCTTGGGGCGTCTTGGGGCCCTCTTGGGCCGTTTGGGGGGCCTCTTGGGAGCCTCTGAGGCCGTCTTGGGGCGGCCTTGGGGGCCTCTTGGACCGTCTTCAACGCCGTGAAAGCCGAAAAGCCGTGTATGCTAGAAATGTACGTACGTGTTCCGCGACAAAATGAGTCCCACACACCTCCCAAGAACGCACTCCGCTTACGCCCGAGAGTGTCAGAGGCCAAACGCCTGCAGACAGCGTTCATGGCGCGCTTGCGCTGAAAGAACCACAATGGCTTGTGTTCTCAGCAGAAGGTGCCGGGGATGCAGCGGCCAGCACTGTACATGAGCTGCTACCTTGGGCTGCAGCTCGCTGAACATTGCTGCGTGAAAATGCGCTGCTACCTTGGGTTGCAGTGCCACGCAACGAAAAACCCCAGCATTATTTCTCCCACACGGCACTTGAACGAGAGATGGACATGCTTGGTTCGCGCATGAATTCTCTGTCCTGAGTCCTGAGTCCTGAGTCCGCTTAAAATGCGAGGTAGCGCTTGCAGCGCAAATCGGGATTGGTGACGGAGGAATGGTCCCCACCGCCGAGCAAACCACCGACTGGATACCCCGACTTGCCCAAGTTCTTGACAAACATATTCAGGTAGGGAATGCCTCCACCAGTACGGCCCCATACGGTCTTCAAGTTAATGCTGTGGAAGCTCATCCAGCCCGTTCCCTTTCGATGGGCCTGCGGCTGCTTGGCCGTGTAATGGAAGCCGCCCTCGCGCACGTCGTCCGCCCACTTGCCGGTCACATTAATGGATACAAAGTAAACGTCCGAGCATGCGTCGCCACAACGCTGTGCCACGGCCGCGACGGCCAGGAGCGTCGCGCTCTCCGCTGCAAACTGTGGGACCTCGACCAGCAAGTGCCTGCCGTCTTTGAGGAGACCAAAACGCTCCCCGTGTATGTTTACCAGGTGAGGATCCCCGACTGCAGCAGCAATCGCTGCAGGCGTACGGGCTGGCGTAGGGGCAGGCGTCGGCGCCAGCGTAGGTGCAGGCGTCGGTGAGGGGGTCGCGGGCGTCGGTGCTGGCGTTGGCGAAGCCGCCACGTAGAGCTCGGTTTTAGGCACGGCACTCGAGGGGCCGGGAATGCCACCGCGCCAGTTATGGAAAGCACCAACTGCGTAAAACCAACTATCGCTGGCCACGCTCCCGTCCAAGAGCGCGTACTGCGATCCTTCCAACCCACCCCACCACTGGGTTGTGTAATGGATAGACATCGCCTCATAGCCTGCAACTGGCCTGGTTGACTGCCGCCCTGGTGAAGTAACTGGGTTGAGCGATTGCTTCCATACTTGGTCCTGCAATCCAGAACCTGGCCAGCTCAATTAGAACGTGAACTTCCCGTCGCCGCTGCGAGAAGTTTCCAGTTGATCCAGAATGGCATAATTGTCATTTCCAGGATCTCCGGCGTTTTTCGACCACTCCCCACTGCTGAATACATACAAGTACGTTTGCCGAGCCAGTAACGTCCAAACCGTAGTGCCCGTGGTACCCTTCGGGGAACTGACGCGGCCGAGGTCGAAGCTGGTGGCGTCCGTGCCGAGCTGCAGGAGCACGGTGTCCTGCTGAGGGTCGACCTCCGCCGCTGCGGTAGTGCCGAAGACGCCGTGGGCGAGGAGATGGATCAGCAAGCACGCTCGGGCAGGCGCCGTCCGGGCCATCGTGGCGTGCACGTCAGAAAGGCAGACTCGAGGAAAAGTTAGTCCGGTGAGGCGCGTACGTTGGCGTTTCACGTTTGAGCCAGATGGCTGCGGATCTTGAGCCAAAATGGCTACGGAACGCCTCTTGGGGGCCTCTTGGGGCTTCTTGGGGGGCTTTGGGTGCCTCCTGGGAGCGTCTTGGGGCGATAAGCTAGACTTTTCGATTCGTGGTCCCCCTCTTGGGGCCGTCTTGGGGCCCTCTTGGGCCGTCTGGGGCGCCTCTTGGGCTCTTGGGGCGCTCTTGGGCCGTTTGGGGGGCCTCTTGGGAGCCTCTTGGGCCGTCTTGGGGCGGTCTTGGGGGCCTCTGGGGCAGTCGTCAACGCCGTGAAAGCCGAAAAGCCGTAGATGCTAAAAATGCACGTTTTCCATAGGAAAATCCATGACTTTGGCCTCTTGGGGCCCTCTTGGGACGCCTCTTGGGCGCCTCTTGGGGCGTCTTGGAGGCCTCTTGGGACGTCTTGGGGCTGCCGTGGGCGGTCTTGGGCTCTTCTGGGACGGAAAAGGGGAGAACCCGAAAAACATACAAAAACCCAAAGGAGACCCGAAACCGGCCATTACACCGCATCCTTCCGATCCTCCCCCCTCCCCTGGACCCCTACCTAGAAGGCTTCTCGCCCAAACACAACGTCAGCGCTCGTACCTCGCTCTTTCCGTTATATCAGAAGAGTGCTGCTCCGAATCGGTGTTGCATACGAGTTTGATCATACGCGCGATGTCCGAACCGCTGAAAATAGACTGTGAGCTGTCTCGGGGCAACAACGTGGGCATTATTTCGGGCGACGGCGTTCTCAGTGTGACTCGGTGTCTTAACTCAGTCGGCAACTTTCTCATATGCATGCTGCGAGAAGGGGCAAACTCTGGGCGCTGAATGCACGCCCAAATCGACGCCTGATATATCTGGAGGCGCACGTGTCCCTCCCCCTGCCCCATAACCCGTTTCCTCCCCATTCTCCCCTCCTCCACCTCCCTGGCCCTCTTCCGTCCTCCTCCTGATTCTCTTCCCCCCGCCACTAAATTCCACTCCGTTCCTTCCATCGGCGGGTGGGGGGAAATGGTCTTTAGTCCTGCCCATGGCCTGAATCAGGTAGCCGACGGAGGTGGCCCTAAGCCCCTGCAGCAGCATAAGCGAGCCCTCCTGGCGGCGTCAGCTTCGGGCGGTCAGAGCCGCACAGCGTCGCCGGACGAGGCGCCCAACGAGCGACCGACAAGGAGGAGACAAGATGGGAGAAACGGTTGGAAGCAGGGCGATGCGAAAAGAGCGGCAGGGGATCATCTACGTGAGCACCCCCCGCCCCTGAGGCTCGAATCCGTATGACACTCCTGAATCCTATGGGTGGAGAGGTCGGCACTTTGACCCTGGGCTCCTGGAATCCACCATCCTCTTCTTCAGGGTAGGGGGGGGATCATGAACCCGCGAAGGAGAGGCCACGACCGCGGGTTGGGTGCCTGGAAAGAAAAAGAGAGGAACGCCACACAGACGCGCGCGAGCAGTCTTATCGTCCTTTTTCTCCTGCGCAGGCTCCTCCTGGGAGATGCCCTTGCTGTAGAGATTCCGAACAGTGAAACTTCCGGAACAGGGTCGAGCAGCGCCAGCCCATTGAACAGTGGGCAGCTTGACTCGCTCTTCAGATTGGGCGACAGTCCCTTCCTAATCCTCCCTCCTCCTCCTCCTCCTCCTTCTCCTCCTCTTCCTTCTCCTCCTCCTCCTCCTCCTCTTCATCATGTGGCCTGTCTCATTTTCGACGTTGGTTTGGTGCAACACCAGCCCTCAGTCGTTGTCTGGAGCAGCATGGGGGCAATCTAGCCTGGGCCACCGCGCTGGCCCCTGACCCTCGCTGCCCCAGTCTCTTGGCACCTCCTTTCCCCGAGCCCGTCTGGGGAGTTGCCCGTGATGGGCCTCTGTCCTCGTCGCCCGCGTATTGGGGCAGGGGGGGCTCGGGGATGTGGTCCCTCTCCTCCGACACTCCTCGCGGGCTGGGGAGTCTGCTCTTTTGCTGAACCGAGGGCGAATGGTTCGGCTTATAGGACTTTACCCCTCTTGATCCAGGACGTTCCATGCGCGGAACTTGACGCGCCCTAGTATCATCTGACGCATGCGGTTCCTAGTCCTCAGTGTGCATATACCACCGATGTGCAATGCTTGATTGATATGTGGAACTTCGATTTTGAGGCCACCGCGCACGGGTGGGCTCGCTATTGCTCTTTGCTGAGAGAAGTCCATCGTGCCGCGTCTGATAGCGGGTGTCATCTGATTCGCCTGACCAAGGTTCTCTCTCAGAGCAAGCTAGCTGCAGCAGTCCAATGTGAGGGCAGCCGAGATCGACCGTCTGGCTAAGTCAGGCGGCGCTTCGCTTCAGGGATCAGGTCACGTTGGATCGCGTCGCTCGGTCTACTGTACCTGTCAAGCAAATTGCGCAGCGCGTCGGCCCTTGCATTGCTCGGGTCTTCAAGCATGTACCAAAGGATGCGTGGCGGGCCGACGCAGAACCCCCCCCCTCCCGCGCTCGTCCACCCCTTCGCTCCTCCTCTCTGGCGCTCGGGAAGGGGCGCTGCGCGAGCACTTTTGGGGCCCAAGCATCGGGCGTTCCGAGTGCGCAAACTGTTGGTCCAGTTCTGTTTCCAAGCGGCAGCTTCTTCGAGCCTCCTGTGCGAATCCCACCGGTGGTGGCCGTGCTTTCTCGGAAGTTACGCGATCTAGTTGTCTGCGAACGCTGTGGTCGACGCAGTCTGGCAGTTGTTTCTGACTTGAAGTTTGGATGCCAAGGTCGGCCGAGAGCTGTTGGCGCAACCTCGAGGCTTAATGCGATGAAAGATGGTCGGCGTCCTCGAATCGGCGTACTTCATCGGCCCAGCTGTGTCTATAGACCAAGCCAGTGTAGCGCATGCCTTCCCAAAGCCGGATGACGTCTTCTCTTTTCAGCCTTGTTTGACTCAGACTGGCTCCTCGGCGGCTAATGATCGGGGCGGGTGGGTTGGGATCGTGGGATCAATGGGCGGGGGTGGTGCATTTCTCGGAACCACCTTTCCAATCCGCAAGACTTGTCTGTTTTGCAAGCGCCCTTCCTGGTCGGTCCCAGATCGGGGGCGTTGAACTGCTCGCCGAATCTCTCTGTACTCTGTATTTTTATTCCTCTCGCGGCCGCGCTCGCCGCCCTTCCCTCGGGCGCGCACCCAGGCTCGCGAAGAGGCAGAGAGAGGACCAACGTTGTCTCGCTTCTGTTCTTTTGTCCGCCTGCGCGAGGGAGACAGTCGGCGCGCGTCGAAACGTCTGCCCTCCTCCCAGGCTTGGCCGCCGAAATGTCAGCCATCAGCGAGTGCCAAGCCGCGGCAGAACCAGGCGCCCGTAGCGCCTGGCTCGCTCGTGGGCTTTCCATTCCTTGCGAACTGGGGGTAGGGGAGGCGATTGTAGACTGCGCGGAGGGGAAATGGACAGATCTGTCTGGCAGCTAGTGCTGCCGTTAGGACTTTGGATGGGAAGCCAGTTTAAGAAACGGTATCATCGGCAGCGCAGTTGCCTCGCTTGCGCGCTTGCATGCCGCTTGCTCTGGCGGTTGGTTGCGATGTCCCCTCGTTTGTTTCGGGCATTGTTTCCTCCTCGGTCTGCCTCTCCGCCGTGGTCGGTCTCTGTTGGCCCTCGCTTTCAGCTTTTCGGGCCCCTTGCTCGGCCCCCGCACGTTGCCACTTGCGCACTCGGAGCTGGCGCTTGACTGTAGCCCGCGGCCCCATAGCAAAAAACACGCCGATTTCGATCACTATCCGTGAAGGCTCGGCTCAAAGGCACAGAGGCCCGCCCCTGGCGGACACAGACAGGCTCGCTCCACTACGCTCCGCTTCGCGATCTGCAAAGGGCTTTCGGCTGCATCTTCGGGTGCGAAGGAGGAAGAGGAAGAGGAGGAGGAGGAGGAGGACGAGGAGTAAGAGGAGGAAGAGGAGGAAGAGGAGGAGGAGGAGGAGGAGCAGGAGGAGGAGGAGGAGGAAGAGGAGGAGGAGGAGGAAACGACAAGGCATGGAAGATCGGGCGGACTGGGATAATCCACGCAGAAGGCACTGGCGTTTAAAGAAAGTATCCCCTGCCAGGAAAGCGCGCAAAGCACGGTGCTGGAGTTCGCCCCCTCCCTAGGTTTCCTGTTCAGCAAGGTCCTGAATCAGGACCTTGCTGAACAGGAAACCCATTCAGTGATGGGGCCAAGGATGGCGGAGTCCAGCCAATTGGCGACACGGGGGGCGGGACGATTTCGGGCCTGCTGCCAGGACCAGGCATGGGCAGCGCGGCTCACAGGGGCAACGACCTTACGAGGGGAAATGATTGCAGTATCAATAGTAATGCCCAGAGCAGTTTTCCAAACAGTGGGGGCCAGAGGCGTGGTAAGATCTCTGGCAACTGGCTAACAATATTCATAGTTCGCGCGCGCGGGGCGGCCCCAGGGGGCCCCCGGACGAACAGCACCCCAGCTAGGTCCCGGCCCACTCCCAGGCCAGCCCGGTCGATCCCCCCCAGAACGCCCCAGGGGAGGGCCATTTTCGACACCCCCCACGAGGATCGTGGCCTGCGAGGGGGAGGGGGGGCGCAATCGACTGCCTCCCCCCCCGCTCCAAGGCGGCCCCCAAGAGCCCCCCAAGAGGCCCCAGAGGCCCCCAAGACGCCGCCAAGGAGCCCCAAGAGGCCCCCAAGACGCACCAAGAGTGCCCCAGGGCCAGCGGAATGAGCGACGCGATTAATAATCGTGATATCACTAGCAATGCCCTGAACAGTTTTCCAAACACTCGGGGACTCACACGACCACCCAAAGCAAGGTAGCCACCAAGATTCCCCCGGGGCCCTGGAGTAAAGTCAACGGGGATAGGCCCGACATAAAAACAATCGGCGGTTCTGAGACATGGTCAATAACGTCCCAAGGAAGCAATGACAAGCCAGAGCCTCACCACTTGGGCATGGGCGTCGAGAGCGAGAACAGCGACTCCAGCCAGGGCTGAATCCACGGTGACGGATCGGCGCCTACCTGTACCAAGATAAACATGACAGATGCTTCGTATCTGCCTAATATGGTAAGAGCCCAGGCCCACTTCATATACGGCAATAGTCACTGTCGGTCGAAGGTTGGCGCTGACAATTCCTCGGCCCTGGTCACCAGCACGTCGGGGCCCAACAAGACGACGAGTGTTGACCATGGCACTCTTGATTCGAGAATCCAACGCAATCCGAAGTCGACGACATCGACGCACCTGGTAGTCGACACCTAGATTCCAGCAAGAAAACCAAACGGCAGCCCCGAGGCGCGAGGCCTCAGCAGCAACTCTGCCTGCCAGAGAAATCCGACGCGAGCGGCACTAACCTCTGTTGGGACAGGGGCAGGTTGGCGGAATAGCTCGACTTACGCATTGGGAGGCGCGAGAAACTCGGGCCCATTATCCACGCCTCCGCCTCCGCACCCATGCCCAAGACCTGAGCGCCGTCAGCCATGAGACCCAAACTCAAAGTCGGAGCGGCCCGCAGTACTGAGTCCACTTCTGGCATACGCACGACGCGCATGAGCACGTCGGCGAACGAACAACCAGCCTCTAAAATAATCGCAGCTGGAAACCATTCCCCGACGACGCGGCGCACGGCGAGAACGCGACAGTGAGGTGAGCGATACAACGCCAGCAAGACCCGGGGAAGAGCGGGAGTGAACTGGCGTGGGTTACACGTGTGGATCAAAAGACGATGCCGAACCTGTTCGGAGGCTTCTTTACGTCTAGCAAGAGAGCGAAGACAGACAGGCCCCGCGCTGCAGCCTACTCTGCAAGATCGCTCATACGCCACGCGCGCTGCTGACAAAAGCGGTTCCGAACAACGTATACACACGGTCGAAGATGACGTTTCGCCCACGCAATGCCACGCGCGACTGCGCGCACACCAGCCATCAGGCCCAGGTGGTAAATTGACCACAAACCGAGCCAGAACAAGCCCCCCACAACTTGAACAGCGATACCAAAGCTCCGTCAGACGACCAAACACGGTGGCGAGGGCGAATCCAATCCAGACAGATAGAGGTGCAAGCACGATTCCCACGGCACATCTGACGGCACCTGTCCAGAGACGGCACTGGTAAGGACGCGAGGTCGCCCGGCAGCACAGGCGGCAAGGAGAGACCCTCACATGGAGCAGCCCGAGAATCCACAGGCGGCATGGGCCCCGGCATCCCATGACAAAACTGCTCCCTCGCCGTGGGCCGGGGCGCCTCGAGGCGGGCCATCAATGGACGGGTTCTGGATCACATCGAACGCATTCCAGTCCGAGTTTCCCTCGACGAACCGGCGCGTTGCAGAAACCCCGCACCCCTTGACCGACTTGACTGCCCGCGCGCACCAACTCTGATAACGCCGCGCAGAGGCGGCCTTCTCCAAAGAAGAGGCCACGTCAGACATGGAATTTGTCAGCCACAAGATGGCGCCCAAATCTAGTCGACGGGCATGAGTCCGCCACCGCGGCCAGTCTGGAGGGGCCACCCCCTCGCGCCGAGAGGGGCAACAACGTCGAGTTCTGCCAACTGAACCCGCAAAAAGCCCCCCGGGATTGAATTCCGCCGGACAAAGCGAATCACCGAAATGATTGGCCAGGAACCCCCACAGCTTGCCTCGAAACAGGAAACAACTCCACCTGGGAAAGCGACGCAGCGGAAACCTTCGAGGTCGACGGACGCCCGCCCCACTCTTCCCGGACTGCAGCGTCAAATAGCTGACACAAGCCGACCAACTCCGAAGCACGTCTTCAGCCACTGCGAGGCGCAGCGATCAAGCTCGGGGAGAGAGTCGCTAGCTTCGGCGCCCTGAGAAAAACCGATCCCAATTCTGAGGAGAAGGCGGACTGCCAATAGGGCGCTGAACAGGACAGGAGGCCTCTGTAAAAAAACATTGACCAGATCCTTCTCCACGGATTATGTGATATGCAAGGCAACTGGCCGATGCTTGGGGGCCCAAGGGGGCGCGCGACACCTGGCGCGAAGCCGAAGCCTGAAAAACATCGTGGACCAAAACAATCAGTCTTAGACAGACCACCAACGCTCGCATTGGCATGGCCGCCCGGGGCAACGACAACGCCTCCCACTAAGTCCAAGAAACCAGCGGCCTCCAATTCCACTGGAGAGAGATTCCACTCAGCCGAAATCAAATAAGAGGACCCAATAGCGCGTGCAACAGCAGGCGCCTGCATCAACAGCTGAGCATTCCTGTCCGCCGCTCCTTCCTCGCGCGCAAGTCAAGATTGGCCCGGGGAACGCCCATGCCCACCAGACCGCGCCATTGCTCTACTACGCAGCGTTCAGGAGAGGGGAGGATCGCAGTCCGGCCCAAGGGGGCGCCCGAGAAGCAATCGGAATACTGAGAAGCCAAGGCGATCCCAGAGCTTAGACGGCCCTCGGATGCGCGAACTGAAGCAAGCATCTGGGCGCGCAATTCCAGACGGCGGGCACTCGTCACGGCGGCCTCTAGACCCTCGGGTGCCTGACAAACTTCCTGAAGAGCGACTGCATCAAGCCCAGAACGGCGCGCCGCCAAGTAGCTCCCAGCATTGGTCCAGCCCGAAACATTCATAGAAGGCAGAACCCAAGAATGACGCACCCAGCGACTCCGGGACGGCCCTGGCACACGACTGCTAAATACCAGACGGGCCAGAAGAGACGCCCGAAGGATAAGTAATGCTATCATCCAAACCTTCTTCTGCGACTGCCCTGGCAAACGCCTGTTTTGCTCTGCTGCAAGAGCAAGCCGCTTCTGTGGAGCGGCCTCTGAATCCCGAGCAGGCGAAGCACCAGCCCGAGATGCGAAATCGTGAGCCTCGACATCCATGGAATCAGGGCCACCACCTCCTCCTCCTCCTGCTGCTGCTGCCGCTGCCACCGCTGCTGATGGCACTTGTGCAGGAGCAGAGCGGACAGCTGAGACCTGCTGCCGACAGCTCACCAGGTTGACCGAGGGCCAGAGCAATCTGAAGGATGCACTGAGCCGACTTAGGCAAGCGCTTGGCGAAGACATCCCTGATGACTGACAAGTCGCTGGAAAAATGGCACGACAACCTCAACCTCTGGCCCAGGAGATGGAAGCGCATCGAAACGACCTTGCCAAAACTCGCACACAGACTGCAAACGATCACGCTTAGCTTCCACATTAAATGTCCGTTCAAAGATATCCGAGATCTCCGGTTCAAGCTGTTCCAAGCTCTCGTCTAACTGTTCCATCTCCCTAGAGGCCTAGCGAACCCGCTGAGACAAACGAGCACGCTGCCGGGGAAGGGAAAGCAGGGCCGTCTTCTTCTCGAGCTGCTGCAAACTCAGACTGAAGCCGGACAATACCACGCTGATCCTGGACAAAGGAAGCAAGACTCCGAAGACTACCAAGGCAAGACTGCTCGGCCTTAATGGGAACATCCTGCTTGGCAACCGTAGCCACCAACTCAGGCTCGTCGTCCCCATCCATGTCGTCATCACAACGAGCAGCAAAGGGACCATCACTGTCGCAATCAAAATTAGCATCGGAGACATCATCTCCGAAAGGAGCCCGTACTTTTTCATCCAAGGGGGGCCTCAATAAGCTCTTCGAACGATCGGGTGTCCTGCTTCCGACGAGGCCGAGGCATGTGAGCAGCGGCGGCAGGAGCCACCCCTCCCGCGACATCAGCCCTTGTCTTTCTTTGGCTTCCCCTTGCCCTCGCTGTTTCCTTTGCCCTTCCGCTGCCCATGTTCCACCTCGCCCTGCGGCGCATCCTGCCCTCGGGGTGCCCGACCAGGGAAGTGCGCCTCGCAAACAGACAGGTGCTGCGTGGCTTGGCGAGGCGAGCCCAAGAAGCGGCACCAGCATCGCAGCAGGGCAGAGCTGACAGGGCAGGGCATCCGCACGCGGGGCCGCGCGCGCCCCGACCTGGCCCCCCCGTGGCCGCCCCTGAGCGGAGGTTGGGAAGCTCAGGAGCGGGCCCCCCTGGAGCCAGGATGGTCACGGGCGGCGTGGGGGAAGGCAGGGCGAGGGTGCGGCAGGGAGGGCATGCTGGAGAGACCAAAAGGCACCGATACCGCTACTCCCTGGACCTCTCGCGCAGAGTGCGTTCTGACCGAAGTTTCGAGGCGAATCCAACCGTGGCGACGAGGGGCTGGGACGAGGCCCAACAAGGGGGAAAACGAGGCGAGGGTAGCGGTATGGGTACTTTTCCCTCCTCTGACATGCGTGACCCAGCGTCGGTGTCCGAGAGCTTTGGACCTGCGCCTCCTCCAATGCACACGCGGGAGGGAGGGGAGACGGAGCAGGACGAGCAGCAGCACCAGCAGCAGCAGCAGCAGCAGCAGCAGCAGCAGCAGGGGGGAAGAGGAGCAGCACTGGCAGGACGCGCGCCAACCGACGAAAAGCAGCTCTGGGGCCGCCGCCTCAAAAATCACCCCGCATTTGGCCTCGCTTGGGGCGCGCTCTGGCAAAAATGTTGTAGCGGATGGTTTGGGCATCCTCTAAGCGATCCCTCTCACCACTGGCGTGGCCTGGGCACCCCTGGCGGAGGTAAAACCCTAGATGGGGATATGGACCGTTCCCCTGGGGTTGCGCAGGGCATGTCCCAACTAGGGTAGTGGGATGGGGGGGATCGTGATGGGGATGGTGACGGGGATGGGGATCGGTTCAACGATACTGACGTATCCAGCGGGTGCGACAAGGAGCCTCCGGGAGGGCCTCGAAACAATGTTTTGCGGCGGCGGCTACACAGATTAACTACGCTGGCGGAAGGGCTAACTAAACGGGGGCACCGTTGTGGCGACGTAAAGCCTCAAAACAACCAAAAACACTTCTCAGAAGCATGGATCGCCGCTCCTCGATCGATCACCGAAGCTGGCCCCTAAAGCTTCGCTCCTGGCGGGTTATGCGGTATCCCGTCTCGAAGATGCCGAGCGGCTTCCCGGTGACCTCGTGGAGGTAGCGGTCCGGGTCGTACTGGTGCCTGGTTTTCACCTCGGCAAGGCCCCTCGGCTCGCCTCGAGGAGCAACGTACGCGCAGGCACACTGTTTCCGTCGATTGCGGCATTGACAGCACTCACGGGTGCAATTCTGAGGGTCACGTACGGCAGGTTCCTGTCGTGACGACGTCGGCGTTGGTTTCTGACACCGCGTAGATCTTTCAAACCTTGAACGTCCGCGTCTTTCCGATTCGAGGTCGGCCGACTCCGAGCGACTGGCGGCACTCAACTTTGAACGTCTGCGACAGGGTCGCCGCCGCGTCGACGCAACGAATCCCATCTGGTCTTTAGGGCTGGGGTGGTCTAGAGCGTTCCGCCTTCCAACCCCTTTCTGTCCCTTTGGACATGGACACCAGTCCTCTCACAAAACAAGCCAATGTGGGTGCCAGCATATTGCCTGGTGTGCGCAAACCCACCATCCTGTCAAAACACATGCAAAAATTCCCTTCGCGGCGATTGGGCCATGCGCAGGGGATCCGTGATCACTTCGAACTGCTGTTTGACAAAAATGGCGCGGGCGCCCGCGTATTGTCTGGTGCGTGCGGGCCCATTCCTTGCAACAGTAATGCAAAGCGCCCATTGGAGCAAAATTGTGGGCCATGCGCGGGGAACACTTTGCAGTGTGTTTGCCAGGGATGACGGGGCTGCCCGCATGCTGTCTGGCGCGTGCGCCCCCCCCATCCCTGCCAAAAACAGACGCAGAGCGACCGCGGGTGCACACAACGTGCACAATGCTGACCACCCCGCCGCCACTTGGTACTGACTTTGACACGGGTCGCTGTGCTTCTCGATGTGTGCCGGGGAGGCAGCACGCTTCCCGATGTGTGCGGTCACACGTGCGCTGGCGCACCTGGCACTGAGACTCTGGTGCTACTTGTGTAGTTTAACGGGCGAAGAACGGTATAAAATAAACTTTCCAGCCGCCCAGGGGCAGGTGTCCCCGACGGCGAAAAAGTTTATTTTATACCGTTCTTCGCTCGCTGAGTAGTGGGAGAGCGGGCGGCAGTGAGGCTCGCGGCCGTCCTTCGAGGCAGCTTGACTCCTCGTCCTAAGTGCCCCGTTGCTCCAAGATGGCCCCAGAAATCCTAAGATGGCATCCACGGTGGCGCAAAACCGTCCAAAATGGCTCAAGATAGCTTCCAGCATGCCTCCACCCCAAGACCGCGCCAAGATAGCTCCAGGTGGCCACGGAGCCTAAAGACGCCCCCAAGATGTCAAAACCCGTCCAAAACCAACGAAAGCAATGACTGTGGCCTTCTGGCGTTTTCGCTCACAATGGGTCTCCGAGACCTCAAATGGCCCAAGAGAGCCCCAGGAGGGGCCCAAGCTACAGTCTTCAACGTTTGGTCGCCGCCGAGAGGACGCGGCGCGGCGCGGGTCGAGGGCTCCGATCGCGATGATCGGACGCCCCGAAACAGGGCGAAAGACGTTTGTGCGAAGCAAGCACCCTCCAACGCTGGAGGCCAACTGACCACCAGCAGCACGCGGATGTCCACTGCGTTGCCAAAATGCGTCCACCGGTAAGCCGTCTTCTCGTGGGTGGCAAAGCAAACCACCCTGTCATGCCCGAAAAGATATCGTAGCCACCTGATGTACTTGGCGAGCGAATTGGGAATCGACTCGGCGTCGTCTCGGACAGTGTCAGTGATGTCGAGGTGGTACTGGGCCGTGGCTGGTCCGTGGGCAGGGACAGAGACAGGGCCTGTATCGTGCACCGCGCGGGCGCTGCAGGGAGGGGCCGAAGCGCCGGGGAAACGTGGAATTGTGCAAGTACAGAGAAGCGTGGCGACAGACCCAGGCAAACTGACTAACCAATGATGGTTGCTAGCAACCACGATAAGCAGGACGAGGGACTGAGAAGAACGCGAAAAGCCGTGGCCCCGATTCCAAGAAGATCCTGGCCGGCTTGATATGTCGCTTCCAGACATGATACGTGCACGGAGTGGGCGTGTCCTGAAGTTCTTTGCCTAATCCGCTAAGCCTGAAAACCTCACTCCCGAGGAGTCGCTCAGGGGCCCGGACCCCAAATTCTAAAATCTCTCTGGGATTGTCGCGTGCCCCCATGGGGCCCAGCGCATTTTCTCGCGTGAGCTTTTTGGGGCCCAGGCGGGGCCCAGGACGGGCCAAGAGGGTCTCAAGCGACCCTCCAGACGGCCCAACACTGCCCTGAGACGCTGGAAGGCCGGGAGAGCTACAGGGAGGGTTGGAAGGACGGTTGCAGGGAGGGTTCGATGCTGTTCAATGCAGCGCATTGCAATGCATAAGCGTGCCGCGCGCGCCCTGTAACGCAACAAAGACTTCGCACATGTTTCGGCCTCCTCGGGCTCTCGAGGGGCTTTCCGGGGGGCCTCTTGCAGCAGGAAGGGCGCGACACGCTCCTGCCATGACGGCGTGGGCAGAAGTCTTTGGCACTGCGCGAAACAGCCAATATTGAACGATCTTCGTCGCCGGAAGCCCCCAGAGCTCGTCTGGAATCGTCGCCCGCAGAGCGTTCAGCACTGCAGCAGGTCGTCTCTAGAATGTCGAACGCTTCTGGGGAAATGGACGAGACCCGCAGCTGTCAAGGAACCTTGAACAAAACCGCGACAATCTGGCGGCATGGAAAACGGACGGAAAATCCTCTTTGACGGTGTCCCCAGCGAAATGGCCACTCTCAGGCGGCATGAAGACCGACCTGATATTCTTTGCAAGGAAGTCACGAGCAAAATCGTCACTTTCCGATGGCATTGCAAACTTTTAGATCGCCAAGTGCGCCAAATGTGCCAAAAAGCGCAAGACGCGCGAGATCCGCATCATGCTCCTGCGGTGGAGCCCCATGGAGGAACCATTTTCGGGGGGGACCTATGGGGGAGCTCCATCTATGGGGGGACCAACGCGGGAGCCCTATAGGGGAGGCTTACGGGGTAGCGGGGGGGGCGTAGGGGAACCTCTGTGGGGGAACCCTATAGGAGAGCCCCATGGGTTTTCTGTGCTACTCCATACTACCACGGGCTAAAGGTAACCTAAATGCACTCTAAAGGCAATATTAATGCAAATACATGGGCATGCATATATATACACACACACATATACATATACATATATACACTACATGGGCTGATCCGTTCCTCTCGTGAATTAACCAAGAATTGCCCATGGGGAATACATAACTGCCCATGGATTTGCCTTTAGACTGCCTTTGGATTGCCTTCACTTCGTCTATGACCATGCTCCACCCCGCGGCCCCAAGGGGGGGTGACGCGCCGGGGGGCGCCGCGCGGGCCCTCCCCATGGGGCCGATGGATGGAGCGCACTACGCAGCACGATGCGCGTGAGAGGGGCACCGAAATGCTCAGGGAACGGCGCGCGGACTTTTCGGGGGGGACTGGCAGGAGAAACTCCCCGCGAGGCGCGATCCACGCGGGGCGTGCCGTTGTTGGCGGGGGCGGCATGCGGACCTGCCCTCTCGAACCACAGGTGAAGCTCACGCCCGGGCGCAGGCCACGTCAAGGAGCAGGAGCTCGCGCGAGCCCTTGCTCCGGGCCGCAGGAGCTCCCTGCGACGCGCGCGGGTGCTCAGCCGGGGGCCGCGGGCGTTCCCCCTGAGGCGCGATCCGCGCGGGTCGTTGGCTGCCTCACCCGCTGCCCACTTTGTGCTTGTTGGCTGCCTAAAAGGTGGCCTTGTGGGATGCCTCGTGAGCGGACCGGTTGGTTGCCTTGTTGGCAGCCTTGTTGGCTTCCTTGGTGGCTGCCTGGTTGACTGCTCGCCTCGCTGACTGCCTAGTTGGCTGCCTTAATCGGCTGCCTCGTTGGCCGCCTTAAATGGCTAGCGGCCCGACACCGCCAGCACCGGCGTAGCCGGAATGGTCGCGGGGAGCCCGACAACGTCACCGCAGGCAACCGTCGGGCAGAGACGGCAAGTGGCAGCTGGGGAAAGCGACAGGGCGCCTGTCTCTGTCATGGCACCGTCGGGGCGTTGGGCATCAACCGTCAGGGAAGCGATGATGAGAGCCATCGTCTTGAATAATGATGAAGCCATCATCTTGAGGGCCATGAAACGCTGTAACTAGTGGGTGGGGGAACCGCGTGCGAGCTCAGCCAATGGGGCCTTCGGTGGAGCTCCCAATACGGCCACGAAGCGCTGTACTGGGTGGGGGAACCGCACGCGAGCTCAGCCACTGGGTCCCTCGGTGGAGTTCCCTATGGGGCCACGAAGCGCTGCACTGCGTAGGGGCGACGCATACTGATGAGGGGAGGAGGGGGAGAAGGGAGGACATGGCAGAGGCAGGTATGGGAGAAGGGAAGAGGGAGGAGGAGGAGGAGGAGGAGGAGGAGGAGGAGGAGGAGGAGAGGAGGAGGAGACGCAAAGCGCTGTCTCTTCAAAACGAAGACCCAGCAGGTACATTGACCATGGGAACCCATGAAACTGATGCGAATGTTTAATCGTGCGCCGCTGCTGTCCTCCCAGCGGAGACACCGCGGGGCGCGCCCACCTCCAGTTATACATGGCGCAGCTCAGACAGGCGGGGGGGGGGGGGGAAGGGAAAGAGAACAGGGACACGGCCGAACAATCTGAGACCCTGACTGCACGTACGCGCCTCAATAAAAAAACGCCATCGTGCCTCCCTGGGGGGGAAGTGCGGGGAAGATGACAGAAGAGGGCGCCACCACCAAGTCGAAGGGCCACTCGTCGCTCTGTGCAGGACGGGAGGCCGGGAGTGGAAAATGGGGCGACACGAGCTCGCCCATGAGACGTTGAGGCGTGGCAAAGCAGGGCTGGACATGAACGTTGTCGTTTTGTTTTCGCTGTGTCTCTCGTTTGGCTCTACCTGTTCTCCTGTACCTCCCTGCCAAAACGATTGTTCCCCAATCAATGCTTGCCTCTGCAGGGCTGCTAGCGGACTCATATGATTAGATGAGGTGTGTCACCGATTTCCGCGGCCGACCTGAGTGCCTTGTTGCCCTATAGCCCTATAGCCCTGAAGCCCTACAGATCAATCGCCCTATAGCCATGTAGCCCTATAGCCCTATAGCCCTACAGCCCTATAGTCCTATAGCCTTATAGCCTTATAGTCCTATAGCCCTGTAGCCCTATAGCCCTATAGCCCTATAGCTCTACATATGCCTATAGCCCTGTAGTCCTGTAGTCCTATAGTCCTATAGCCCTATGGTCCTATAGCCCGATGGCCCCTTAGCCCTATAGACCCATAGCCCTATGGACCTATAGCCCTATAGCCCCGTAGCCACAGAGCCCGAGAGCCCCATAGCCCTATAGCCCTACAGCCCTATCGCCCTATGGCCCTATAGCCCTATAGACCTATAGCCCTATGGCAATATAGCCCTATAGCCCCATAACCCGATAGCCCTAAAAAGATGATGTTCGGGTTTTTTCTCCGGTGTCATTTTTCGTTTGGCTCTACCTGTTCTCCTGTACCTCCCTTCCAAAACGAAAAACAAAGCACAGCCGAAGTCCAGCAGAACAGCGTTTAGGACCAGCCCTGTGGCAAAATACCAAGACGGAGCGCGCCGAATCTGTATGGAAACTGGACCCGTCGCTCATCCACGCGCCTCGATCCATGTCTGCGGCTCCTCGAGGCCCTGGGGGGGCCCTGGGAGGCGCCCAGACCGAGCGGACACGCCACTCTGCCCCGTCCTGCTGCGCCCACCCAAAACCCATCCCGTGGGATTGCCTCCGGGAGCCATCGGGCGTCCCCAGAGGCCTCCAGCGGGGGGTGGGACCGCAGGCTGGCGGCCCTTGCTCCGGGTGCTCCGCAGCCCCCCCTACACCGATGCGCCCCGGGCAGGCCCCAGAAGCTCCAGGAGGCTCCCCGGGCCTCCCTGGCGACTCGGGCAAGAATCGCGCCAGACCTTGCTCGCAGCTCGCGGAGGCGACGGCCCCCGCGGCAGAAGCGAATCTGCGTCAACCCTGGCCAGGCCCCTCCTGGGCCCAGAACTGGAGCGCGCACACCCTCCTGACCTAGCCCAAGGCTGGACCTGAGCGTTGTGTTGCGTTGTGTTTCCGTGCTGTTTTTCGTTTTTCCCTACCTGTTTTCCTGTACCTCCCTGCCAAAACGAAAAACGAAACACAACCGATGTCCCGCAAAACAGCATTCAGGTCCAGCCCTGGCCTAGCCGAGAGATCGTAGACACTGATCCAGGGCCATGGTAGATAGCATGGCCGAGACCTGTCCACGAATAGCCGAATAGCGTGTCCCCCGACGACCTGCCACAGAGAAAGCCAGCTTGCAAAAGGTGTTGCTGCGAACGCTCCCGAGAGGCCCTGGAAATTCCCCCCACGGGCTCCCGAAAGCTTCACCGCCCAACCGTGGAAGCAGCTGCGCACGATCGAGGCATCGCCATCAGCTAAGATCCGCACGACGTCCAGCGGGACGGCGATGGCATGGCTGATGCTAGCACAGCTTCCGCCTGGCGCACTTTGGTAGCGAAAAAAGAACAATAGTGGTCATGGCAGCGGTAGCACTGGTGGAAGAGAGCGCGCTCGCGAAACTCAGCGAGGAATCCGATCCACTACCCCTCGCAAAGGAGCATAACCGCCAAACCTCGAGACCCAACCACACTCACTCCCCCAAGCATCCCCCCCAACACCACCCCCTCCTGGACGACGACGACGACGACGACGACGACGACGACGACAAAAGGTGCCGAGTTGGCGATCACAATGCCAGGGAAAAGCAAAAAACAACTGTAGACCTCGGTCGTTGAACGGGCCTAGCGCGATGCAGCAAGTGCGCGCGGGCGAGGCAAGGGGGGAGCGAACACACAACACAGATTTCCAAAGACGTCCCGAGGAGGCCCCTCGAGCACCCCCAAGAAACGAGCCTCCGAGAGGCCCCAACCAGGCCTCAGAGGGGCCTCCTGAGAGACACTACGCGACATTTGAGAGGCCTCTGATCCACAACCCAGGCTCGGTGGCGGGGAACGAGCAACACAGACTTCCCTCAGGGAAGCGGCGAGGAACGAGCCTGTTGTCCTCCTCCTCCTCCTCCTCCTCCTCCTCCTCCTCCTTCTCCTCCTCCTCCTCCTCCGCCTCCTCCTCCTCCGTCTCCTCCTCGCCCTTCTCCCCCTCGCCCTCCTCCCCCTTGCTCCTCGATCACGGGAGGGGGCGACGAGCAGAGAAGAGCTTGCACCCCGCGGAGCCCGCGCCTCGGCGAGCGCAAGGCCCGCGTGGAGCGAGAGCGCGCACGGAGCTCGCTCACTGAAGTGCAGGGGTCATTCCAAATGCGTCCCAAATGCATCCCAGTTTGAGGGGTCATCTCACTTTGGATCCATTCGCTTGTTCGGATGAACCGAGGAAGGGAAGGCATGCCCAGTGGGGCTGGCGTGAGTCGACGGGGAGGGAAGGTCGCGCCGCATCGGCGATGCATCGGCGACGTCCGGATGGAGCAAACTGTGCTCCAGATGGCGCCGAATCGCTGATGCATCGGCGATGTGACGCCATCCTCCGACCCCGTCTACTCCCGCCCCACTGAGGAGGCTTGGTAAGCCAGTGAAGGCCCTCACGGGCGGGGCGGGCGGGCGGACCCCAGCGGGCAGACCCTGCCCGGCGGCAGGCTGCCAAGCAAGCGAACCTGCGGACCTAAACCGATCGAGTCGGGCGGGCGGACCCCGACGCGCGGGTCGGAAGGGTGGACCCCAGCGTGCGGGAGACACCGCCCCCTCATCCCCTCGTCCCCCGCGCGGCTCCGAGCGCGGCGGAGCGAGGGGCGTGACCTGCCCGTGCGCCCGTCAGTGGCGCGGAGGACGCTGGACGGAGGAGGAGGAGGAGGAGGAGGAGGAGGAGGAGGAGGAGGAGGAGGAGGAGGAGCTGCTGTGGCCGCCGTGGTGCCAGAAGCGCACGGCCCTTCCCCTCGTGGGGTTCCCAGAACACGGTTGGTGACGGACCGCGCGCGGAGCTCAAAATCTCACGAGACCTCGCCGCTTGGCCCGTCACCGCACGGCCTGGGGACCTCGGCGGCCCGCCGCCCGGAGCGTCCTCGGAGAACGACCCGACTCCCAAAAAACCATGCAGCGACCACGAATTCCCACTGAGTCCCCACGCGGCGTGGTCACCACACTGTCTGGGGGCCCCCGATTCCCCCTCCCCCTCTGCCAACAGAGCCCCCCGGCGGGGGCAGCTCCGAACCGAGCGCCTGCGGCGAGGAATTTCGCCACCCTCCCGACGCTCCAGTCGATGTCCAGCACCGGGGCGCCTGTGGGAAGGTGCAACATTCAGGCGGGCGGAGACATCTGAAAAGAGGAGGGAGGGCAACAAGACGGGGAGGGTTGCCCTCCTCCTTCTCCGTGTCCGCTTCCGGTTATATTTCCGCCGCCGCCTCCACCTGTGCAACCACATCCTCCTCCTCCTCCTCCTCCTCCTCCTCCTTCTCCTCCTCCTCCTCCTCCTCCGCCTCCTCCTCCTCCGTCTCCTCCTCGCTCCTCCTCCTCCTCCTCCTCCTCCTCCTCCTCCTCCTCCTCCTCCTCCTCCTCCTCCTCCTCCTCCTCCTCCTCCTCCTCCTCCTCCTCCTCCTCCTCCTCCTCTTCCTCCTACTACTACTCGGAATCGGATTCGGGGTATGAAAGACGTCTGACTTGGCACCCTGTCTAGGTAAGCACCAGGAAGGCAAGGAAAATGTGACAGGGGGACAGCAGAGCAACAGGAGAGGAGGAAGGACATCAGGGGTCGAAACATCAGACTTCACGCTCGTCCTCCGATGCACGCTCGCTGAGGTCAGCGTCCTAAATACAAAACTCGGTGAAATCTTCAGGGAATACGGCCATCTCCAAGGTCGGTCGCGTGCCCATTACTAACTCATCCCTTCCAATCTTATCCCCGCCATTTTTTTGATCCGCGGGTCGAAAGCGCACCTCTTCCGGTCGAAGCTAAGCGGGCCGCGCACAGCTTTAATTGACAGAGGGGGGAGGCAGAAGAAGGGGCCTCACGTCAAGGCCAGGAGAGGGCAAGGCCCCGGAATCAGGCGGTGCCGAAGACGAAGTGCTTGCAAAGGACCGCCTTGTACAGGAACCCGGTGGCGAAGTACCGGAAGAAGCAAAATGCTGTGGTGGTGGTGCCGTCAGCGGCGCGTCATGTACACCAGCCTCAAGTGGCCGCGGGAGAGGACGCACCATGTATCCAGGGCGACGCCCGAGAGGGTGAGGAGCACCACTGGGCCAGAGTGCAACGTTGTGCCACCGAACAGGATGCAGGAGAGGCCCAGGCCGTGGTTGTCCAAGAGAGCCACAGTCTGAGGCGCGGCGGTCAGGTCAAGCCAGGAACATGCCGCCTATAGCGACCGACAGGGTGCCAGTGTGATGCAGGGAGGACGCCTGCCCCTCCCTCCGCCAAACAGGTTACCTCCATTTACGACGGCCACATCACGCCGTGATCTGACACAGTGTGTCTCCTCGAACGACGTCTTGACAGGTTCCTAATTAGGCTCAGCGAAGAGATGCATGTGGGAGCAGCGAACTCATACACAAAAGGGATGTCACAGATGGCAGCCGCCAGGTTAAGTACTGCGGCCTCCCGCCAAGCACTGTTTTCCTCACTCACGATCCCTCTCTGCTTGGTCGAGAGGTCCCGACGGCCCTAGGGAAACTCCACCGAGCTGACGGGCCGAGAGAGACCCGAGGCAACCGGTCCATGAGCAGACAGATCGGCCCAGGAAGCTCCCCCCGCAACCCACATTAGAGCCACGGCGCCCGACCTCGCAAGGGGAACAAAGAGGTCACGCAATGTCTGAAACGTAACTCTCACCACGTGAAGGCCATAGAATGATAGGTCGCAGTACGATGCTTCACGGACTCGCTAGTTCCGCAGACGATCACAACAACTTCGCCTGAGACGACACCAATGTCAGTGAAGGGGGAAGGGCGAGAAAGAGTAGATCGGAGGTCATCCTCATGGATTTGACTCGTAGGATAAATTCTGGCGTCAAGCGAGGTAGGATGGTCGGGGAACTCCAACCTCGGCCCTGAAACTCTGATCGGGAAGCCCTCGCTTCCTGCTCTTGGCTTCCGTCTCGAATGCAAGCTGATTCCACGCCTGCACTTCTTCACGGGGTGCCCGTGCAGCAGACTGATACCTACCAGACGTGACGACAGATCCCGACTCACTTCAAGTGCGCATGCAGCCTGTTAGGGGTATAAAACTCCCTGAGGCAAACTTGGCAAGTGCAACCCTCCTCCTCCTCCTCCTCCTCCCCCTCTTCCTCCTCCTCCTCCTCCTCCGCCTCCTCCTCCTCCTCCGCCTCCTCCTGCTCCTCCTCCACCTCCTCCTCCGCCTCCGCCTCCTCCTCCTCCTCGTTCTCCTCCTCCTCCTCCTCCTCCGCCTCCTCCTCCTCCTCGTCTTCCTCCTCCTCCTCCTCCTCCTCTTCCTCCTCCTCCTCCTACTCCTCCTACTCCTACAAGTTTGCGACAGCTTGGAGGCCCAGGAATGGTGTTCTGGCACGGTTTCGGAGTGTCAGGACCCAACCGCAACGTCGATCTGCGAAGCTGAAGTCCCAAGAACGGCGTGTTGGCACGACTGAGAATTCTCAGACGGTTGTCTTCTGACGGGTCTTGGAGGGACCTATGAAAAGGGAAACGAGGAGTAAAGGTTCGTTGTAACATCGTTGATGCGTTTTGGATTTACACTGGTCCTCCTCCGCCTCCTCCTGCTCCTCTTCCACCTCCTCCTCCGCCTCCGCCTCCTCCTCCTCCTCCTCCTCCTCGTTCTTCTCCTCCTCCTCCTCCTCCTCCTCCTCCTCCTCCTCCTCCTCCTCCTCCTCCTCCCCATCCCCCTCCTCCTTCACGACGACCACGACAGCAACGAGGACGCGTCTTGGACAGGCCGCGGCGGGGCGCCCGCGTCCGCGGCCCAGGCCGGCAGCGCGAAGGCGGACGCCGCCAGAAGCGCGGCCACCGCGGGCGCCGCCCAGCGCCCCAAGGCCCTCTGGATAGGCCGCTGGGCGCTGGCAGAACCCTCACGGCGCCTGGCGGAGGAGGGACGATGGCGCCACGACCAGAACTGAAGGACCCCTCATCGCCCCCCTCCCACTCCCCCCCCCCCCCCCTCCCCCTCCCCCTCCCCCTCCACAAATACACAATATGAATTCTACTCTCCTCTCTCCCCTGATGACGTCCGGAAGATACCAGCCCCCCTCCGAGTGTACTGTTCTTTGACACACAGGGTTCCCAGGAATTTGGTTTTCCCTAGGTTTTGTTCCAAAATGTTGCTCCCGCTGAAGCGCTGGCCTCATTTCCGCGCTTCCGCTCGTTCCGAATCGTGCTCCCGCTGCAGCGCTGGCCTCATTTCCGCGCTTCCGCTCGTTCCGAATCGTGCTCCCGCTGCAGCGCTGGTCTCATTTCCGCGCTTCCGCTCGTTCCGAATCGTGCCTCCGCTGCAGCGCTGGCGTCATTATTTCCAGTGCCATGCCACGGCATGGTTTTCGGTCCTTTCGAATAGGCCCCAAAATCTAGAAAATGGCCCACCGAAAAATCATCGGAAGTAATTACACATTCGGTGTCCATTCGTTGATTGCTTGGGCCGCAAAAGCCCCCCCACTTTGGGGGCCACGCCATGCTCTTTCATGCTACGCGTCGATCTTCAACACCATGCTATGCCTTCTAATGCTATGCCATACTAAGACATCCGACTGTGCGAATAGAGGAGAGCCACGGTAAGGGATGGGAGGGAGGGGTAGGACGTCAGATATGACGCGAGCGTACCTAATTGGTCCCACCTCCACCCCCTCCCCCTCCTCCTCCTCCCCCCTCCCATTCCTCCCCTTCCTCCTCCTACAACTACGGCACTGCTGAAAGAACCAATCCGCAGCACGATCACGAGCGAATTCGAAAAAGAGCACGATGCCGAGAGGTGGTCCCGCCAGCTGAGGACATCACGGTCCCTCCCAAGGCACAATCGTGCTGCTGGATGAACTCCGCGCACAGGTCCAGAGGCACAAAAAACCATGTGTTTGGCAATGAGGGCTCCCACACGTGTATGGAGTCCCTGTTCCCTCTGTGCCTCTGCCGTCCCCTCGGTGTTGCCGGTGATCCGGGAAGATTTTACCGCCAACCAGGCCGCGGATGAGTATGCCAGTGAAGGGGCGCGCATGGCCAGGCTCCCACAGCATATCATCCAGCAGGTAATCGGCATAGATAATAAAGCTGTCCGCGTGCAGAGGCGCCTGACAGAAGTCGCTCTGCAAGTGGCTATCCAGACCCCATCCCTATACTCGGCCACCTCTAGAGCTGATCGTGTGGCCCGCAGTCGAGCGTCCCGGGCCCAGCGTCAATCGAACGTTGAGCAAGCACTGCAGGAGACCACACACAGCGTGATCGAGAAGGGGGGGTATAAATTGCGTATTGTCTGCCGCGGGCGCCCTACCAAGGAGTGTGGGACGCTGGAATGGCTTGCCTCGCAATGCCCAGGTCGGCCGCACCAGATCCATCAGAGCCACGATGTGTCTTGTACTCGTGAACTCTGGTGATGTCGCAAGTGTGGGGCTTACAGCAGTGCGAAGATCAGCGCAGGGTTGCAAGGCACCTGCCACCGCCCAACAGACTGGGACAAGAAGGTGCTGTCCAAACTCATGGATGGCCGCTTCCCCCCAGGTCTGAAGACCTGGCCAGACGAGCTTGGCAAGGGGCTGGGTGCAGGGTAGTTTCACGCGCGCGCCGTCCCTCGGCGTCATGTGCGGACTTGGGGACTTGGAGTGTGCGCCAGGAGGAGGAGGAGGAGGAGGAGGAGGAGGAGGAGCGAGGCCACGTCCTGCACGAAGGAGACAAGGGTCCTGCTGGAAACTGCCCCTCTGTCCCAGGGTTGGCCAAATCGAGCCCACTTTAGGGGCTGAGGGTGAGGTGCCAGACAGGGCCGAGGGCCGAACGCCAGGCCATCGTCCAGGCGCTCCTCGTGGCCCCCTCCACCTCCTCCTCCTCATCATCATCTTTCTTTCTTTCTTTCGCGGAGCCTAATCAGGTCACTGACGGCAGAGTGCTGACGATACTATGAACTGCGAGCGCCGCTTCCTCTAAGGCCAAGGCATCAACCGAGAACGAAGTCATCGGACCTTGGATAAAGTCCTAGCCAATATCACGGGCACCGTCGTTATGTAGGATCAGTGGTGCGTGACGGTCTCGATGCGCCAGGTCGCTGTGGAGCACTTGCCGGCCCGCGTGCCACAATCCATACACACTATCAGGTTAGAATTGGCGAGACCAGCTTCCGGCAGCGGGCAACGCTGGAACCACGAATGTTGCTCGTCCACTGTGTAGTTCACAAGGTAATCGGCGCGCACGTTCCATGCCCGTGTGTGCCAAAAGAACATGTCGCCCACATCACGCGCGAGGCGCCACCCTCCCCGCAAGATGTGCGCGATGCTGCGAGCGATGCGCTGGAATTCAGGATACATGGCGAGTTTGGTCAAACTGGTTGTGTTCCTCCTCCTCCTCCTCCTCCTCCTCCTCCTCCTCCTCCTCCTCTTCCTCCTCCTCCTCCTCCTCCTCCTCCTCCTCCGCCTCCTCCTCCTCCTCCTCCGCCTCCGCCTCCGCCTCCGCCTCCGCCTCCGCCTCCGCCTCCGCCTCCGCCTCCGCCTCCGCCTCCGCCTCCGCCTCCGCCTCCCCCTCCTCCTTCCTCCGCCTCCTCCTTCTCCTCCTCCTCCTCCACCTCCTCCTCCTCCTCCGCCCCCCCCTCCCCCCCCGCCTCCCGCCTACCGCCTCCGCCCTCCGCCTCCACCGCTTCAATCCTCCTCCTCCTCACCTCCTCCTCCTCCTCCTCCTCCTCCTCCTCCTCCTCCTCCTCCCTCCCTCCCTCCCTCCCTCCCTCCCACCCCTCCCTCTCCTCCCTCCCTCCTCCTCCCTCCTCCCCCCTCCTCCATCCTCCCTCCCCCCTCCTTCCTCCTCCCTCCTCCTTCTTCCTCCTCCCTCTCCCTCCTCCCCCTCCCTCCTCCCTCCTCCCTCCTCCCTCCTCCCTCCTCCCTCATCCCTCGTCCCGCCTCCCGCCTCCCCCTCCTCCTCCCTCATCCCCCTCCTCCTCCCTCCCTCCTCCCTCCTCCCTCCTCCTCCTCCCTCATCCCTCCTCCCCCCCCTCCCTCCCTCCCTCGCCCTCCTCGCCCTCCCTCCCTCCCACCCTCCCTCCCTCCCTCCCTCCCTCCCTCCTCCCACCCTCCTCCTCCCTCCCTCCCTCCTCCCTCCCTCCTCCCTCCTCCTCCTCCCTCCTCCCTTCCTCCTCCCTCCTCCTTCTCCTCCCTCCCTCCCTCCCACCCTCCCTCCCTTCCTCCCACCCTCCCTCCCCCCCTCCATCCCTCCCTCCTCCCTCCTCCCTCCTCCCTCCTCTGGGGGCCGAGATTGTTTCGGATCATTGTTCGGCCGTCCGCGAAGAAACGGCTGGAACCAGGGCTTCACGCCGAGCTGCAGCAAGCACGCCAGCGTGTGGAGACAGATGTTCAGTCTCTGCGAGGGCCGCCCTGAGCGTCCCTCTTTGCGCTGACCGCCCGATCATGGCGACCTCGAGTCTGTGCTGCAGGGCAAGCTGTTCCCACAAGGCAAGGCGCTAACGTTTCGAGTGTCTTTGGCTCCTTCGGGAACACCTGGGCCGACTACTTCGCCACAGTGGGAGCGGGTCTGATCCAGCATTCGGAAGCGACAGTGACCAAGTGATGTAGTGCGTGGAGCGACCAAAGGGAGTGCATCGTTCATGTTTTTTCTTGGCGCGGGCGGCTCAGTTGGTGGCCAGCTCCTCGGTCCAGGATCCCTAGCCGCACGCGAGGCCGAAATTCCCGACGGCCCAACTCGGTTTGCTTTCGCTCGAACCCGATGAGGTCCAAGGGGGACGGGTTCGATGCACGTGGTGGCACTGCTCGGCCAAGACGGCCAGTCTAGAATCACGCTGGAGCAGCCTGATGCAAAGTGCGAGCCCTCGCCTCTTCACCTGTTTTTGGAGGCAGTAGGGGCGGAGAAGGGCGCGAGGCAGTGCCGTCCGCAATGCGATGTCTGCCCTCGGCTTCGACGCAGCTGAGGCGTCAGAGCGCCGAGTGACTGGGGTGTTCGAGCACCTCGGGCATCTGGTGCAAGCGGCTGGCCAGTACATGGTCTGCAATGGATGCGGAGCTCATGCCCGTCTCGAGGCGCCGAGCTGGCAGGCTGGCGCACGCTTCCCAGGCCCTGCCAAGCCGAACCGTCGGCGGGCAAGAGGTGGTTCCGCGACGATGTCCTGGCTGGGCGCAAGCCTCAACAGTGGGTGGGCTGGGGGTGCTGGTGATCCTGAGTGTTATCGGCACCTCCCGCTCGCTCATGTGCGGGGCGCGGCCTGTGCGGGAGACGTGGCGCAGGTGCTCTAGACGCCTCCACCCGCCTGTTTTTTGAGTGAGCGAGCCTCGTGAGGTCCCTCCTTCCCACAGAGGTGCCTGCCTCCTGCCTTTTACGGGCACCGCTTGACTCAGACGGTGCAGCCCGGGCCGGCCTCCTCCTCCTCGTCCTCGTCCTCGTCCTCGTCCTCGTCCTCGTCCTCCTCCTCCTCCTCCTCCGCCTCCGCCTCCGCCTCCGCCTCCGCCTCCGCCTCCGCCTCCGCCTCCGCCTCCGCCTCCGCCTCCGCCTCCGCCTCCGCCTCCGCCTC